CCAACCCGGATTTCTAACCCAAACCCACACCCAAACCCAACCCCAACCCCAAACCCATGATCGAGTATATCATCTTCTTTTCACAAATAATTTAAAATATCTCCTAACCCATTTAAACCTAGATCTTCTTTCCTTTTTTATAGGTATAATGCCCTTGAAAGTTTTTAAAGAAATTAAAAGTAAATATTTTACTCAATACAAATCCCTGATGTATTCCATTTCGAAATCTGCACTACTCTTTATCTTCGATTATAAGTATTATCTTGATCATTTTCTTTAAATAAAAATTCACACATGTCCTCCTGAGTATCTGTCTATGTATTATATTTCTAAGCACTTCAAATGTCAAAAAATGTTACATTATTATTAGCTTAATATTATACATCCCTATTTTATTTAGATATAATCTCAGAGAGTTGAAAGTATATTATCACAAATTAGATTAAGTCTTTTTAATTAAATATTATTTATGATTTTATTATAGTTTTAAACTTAACCATTAGAAACTTCTTAGGGCTTACAAATTTACACTGCAAATTTATTTAATAAATATTGTCTTGAACATTACTAATGTATTTTAATATCTGGGTTTCAAATTAAATAATTGTTTTGTGAAGATACTGAGTAAGAAATACTAATCAAAAAAGAGAATAGATGGATATAATTAGATCAAATAAGGGAAACTTCGAAAGCATAGAATCTCTGAAAAGCCTCATGAATATATAGAGGATTAAAAAAAGATCTAGATCTTTAATGCATAAAACATAAGATCTTTGGTACATTAAAGAATTTAGCAAATAATATCTATAGATATCCAAGAAATAAGCTTTAATAGAGTTACAGAATGGTTTTTCAGAAGTAGAATAAGATAATAATTGATTATAATTAGATAGTTATCAAACTAAAGTGTCAAGTTCTGGTTTCTACTGTTTTCCTCAAACATATTATACTAATCTAGACTTCATCCCTAAAATTTTTCAGGCCAAATCAACTCCTATGAATTAGAATTATAGGATTTACTTTTGGTAATATAACATTTTTAATAATAGTGAATTTTATTTGAAAAAGGTATATAATGAACTAACAACCTACACAAAGTAAATGCAATTAAAGTTCGAAGTTCAACCTAGATTCTTAGATTATTATGAAATGAAATTTATTTTTAGTCATACCAACTATCATTAATTGCCTTGAGGATGAGCTAATCCACATTAATTAAATTAATGATAATTAACAATAAATAGTATGAAATCAAGAAGATACTTTTAGATTATTAATTTCTAAGGTTCCCTCTAAAACAAATGTTAATTACTAACATATTTATTTTTAATTTTAAGCTTAAGCATTATAAACTTCATACCTTACTTTCAAAATATATGGAGAATGATTTTACCATATTCTGAAATTTTTATCATAATTGATAGAATACTAATTTCTGAGCATACATTTTTAAGATAAATTTAGCAAAAATAGCTTATATAAAAGAATTATAAGCAATTCTTCTAAATAATAAACTTGACTTTTATTAATTATTATATCAAATCATTAGCTTGTGTGAATAGAGATTCCAACGCTTAAGTCTCCTGTTGGTGTCCCCAAATTTCACTTCATATGGCATTCATGCTTTATGATATCCTTCCATGACTGAAAGAATCGACAATTAGGAATCGTATATCCATTGAACTTAAATTACAGAAGATATTTAGGATTCTATCATCATCCTTGATTATCCATTACTATTCCTCTACCTTGCCCATACTTTTACCATCTTCTTACTCATAAGCATTCGTATCAGTGTACTACCTTCATTCCCAACTCTAAGATACCATATTATACCACTTCTGGCAAACCCCGGGTTTGACAGATTACATACATCTTATTATCAAAAAGATCCCACCAATTCCTGGTATGTTCAACCGCGATCTTCCTACCTGTTACAATATACCGCTTCCTATCTGCATCCTTAACTTTTTCTATTTACAATAAATCTGCTTCTTTATTTAAATCATAGTTCTCTATCTCCTTTTATTGAATTCCTTCCTTTTGATAATCTGGCTACTTACTCATAATATTTCCATTATAGCTCCATCATTCTGTTACAAATATAGATTACCTATATGAAAAAGAAGCATCTATTTTTCAACCATCTTATCCACCTTGATAACTACCGAATGCCAACCAAGATTAGATGAGACTTTAAGTAGTGCTTCTTTTGTTAAAATTGGGAACCTTAACTTCCCCATCTGGCTTGTACTTCCTAATCCTTCAATTTCTGGACGAAAATAAAAGCTCGTATTTTTTCCTTTAACTTTTATCAGTCTTGTCTGGCACTTACACTTTCCATTGGTTTAGCATCTACTCAGCTAATTCTTCAGAGACCTATCTTTTTCTTCCTCCTTCCTTTTCTTAGGCGCTTTTTGATCC